AGAACTTCAAAACAGTTCCTCACAACCATCTAGAGCTCAATCTGTCAGGTAATAATTGTGTGTGTAATCGCAGACTTTTATTTTAGACACAAGTCCACAATAAGGTATTGCATATACCCAAGTCTAAGGATGTATAAGTATACCTTTGCAGCACTTTATCGCCTCACTATTAATGATCAACATATATTGGTAGTCCTTAAAGTATTTTGTTTGTTGTAGTAGGTCAGGTCAGAGCCTCTTGTGGCAATGTGTAGTAAGTTCGTACTGATGTTACTCAGAAATCAGACAGAAATTATAAACATTCATTCCACAAATAAAATGCATTATCTCGTAGGTATACTTTCTAGTCTGATATTGTTTAGATGTCTTGAGTCTTATTGTCTTTGTACATGCTGTGTTTTTTTTAAACTTGGGCTGTTTGTTTGCATCGTGGTATAGAAAAAAAGTGTTACATTTAATAGTGCAATGCTCTAGACCCATCTAATAGCCACTGTGAGTATATTTAGGTCTTGAATCATTACAATTCATGCAAATATTTCTTGCTGACTGTTATGTCATAATTTAAGTTACATAACATCCTAAATCAGTTGAATTTGCATCTTATGCATGTTTCAGACATCACATTTCCTTCAAAAGCAGTGCTGAGGATTTGTTCCTGTTTACTGTGATTTGCATTCTGTACTGTGAGTAAATTCAAATACGCAAATCACAAATGTTTACTGTAAAACAAAACCTTTAATATTTCTTTGAAAGCAAGTATCAATTTTGATGGAATATGTTCATCCCTCCTTACGATTTTAAGTAACTGTTTACACATACTGTATAAACCTTTTGTTGATGCCTTCATTTAAGTGTTGTTCATATGCTTTTGGCTGAGATAATGAAATCACAGTGCTGCTTAATGGAGGAGATTTAGAATGGATGTCCTTTGTGTTTTTATCTTGGAATAAACACTGCAAGTAAATACATGTTAATTTTGTGTAGGCAATGATGATGTCATAGTGAAAACTATTGCTATAAAAAACTTAAAAGAGTACAAGTGCTTCTCTATAAAGAGTGCATGCATATTGTTGTGCCAAGAATAAATTTTGTGTTGCTTTTTGTTTTTCACCATGTCTTATTTAATTTAGTATAGCACATAATTTATAATTAGGTGTAATAATAATTATACAATTATGATCATTTTTGTTCTTTAGAGGCTGGTCATGTGTATAATCTAGCTATGTTCTGTTGTTTAGAGGCTATGCTGATGCACATGAAACTGGAAAATAAACTGCAGAAAAGAAATCTTTGGCCATTAATTGAATCAAGCATAATACTGCTATTTATATTAATACAATAATGTGTTTTATTTTCTTCTTCTATTCTCTTTTATTGTCCTGAGCAAATATAAGTGTCTGCATGTGTTCTAAATCAGATTATTTTTGGCACATTCAGCTGGACACAGCTTTGTAGAACATTCCCTAGTTGTGATACATTTCATGGAATGAAAATAATACTTTGAAGAAAAATAATACATTGAAGAAAAAAAAATCAACAACCATTGAAGGTTGCTTTTTTTTTTTTTGGATTATCTCTTATGGTCTTAGTATTCAAAGCCATATACAAATGACACAGGATATAAAGTACTATTCAGTTGTATATTTGTAAAGGATCAACTAGTCTACACACCTGAATTCAGCTGTTAATCAGGTTAATTTTTTTTAGTGAATGTTGGACAGTGTTTAGCTAGTTTGAACACTGAACATGCATAGATAGTAAAATAGCATGGTTCTAAGTATTTGGATGCTGCATTCTCAGAAAAACCATCAGACTTCTCTTTATCTCTTTATGTTGCGTAGTCATCTTCATGTAGCACACATTTTCAAGTAAACTGAAGTGTGAAGCTTTTGTTCTTAGACTCTAAACGCTTATTTGTCTCCAAACAGTATGGTGCAACAATGTACAGCGTTCAAAGATCAATAATATTCACATAGGCATGTGAAATCTTGTTCCGATCAGCATTAGTCGATGAGCTTCAGGTCTTTTCAGATCTCTTGCTTTGTGGCTAGAATACAATCTATAACTGGTGTTGTTCCTGGTAGAAGGCCTTGTCAATTCTTCCTGCCTGAGGTTTCTTCCCAGGGCATAGAAAGCCTGGGGTAATGTATTTGACACAGTGCTGGAGGGTAAATCATACTTATTTTGAAAAGTTATGTTAAAAATAGATGGCAGGTGATTGCTTTCCTGGGACAGCCAATGCTTTGTGCAGGGAGATTCCTTTAACCTGTAGCCGTTCTCTTCTGGAATAAAGTCTGTGAGGACCTTGAAGACATTTCCTGGGTCACCAATGACACTCAATCTTTCACCAGCAGTGACAGCTCCGGTGGCATCAGGCATCATGGCCTTGGTGACAACTTCTGCTGGATGGAAATCTGTTGGCTCCACTCTTTTAAAAAGACTGTTCCTCAGGTTTCTGGACTCTTTGACAGGCGGCAACACACTAAAGCTTCTGATGCTAAGAGCAACTGTATTTTCCTTCAGGTTTTGACACGGTTCTGTATGGTAATGGTAGACTGGTGGTGATTTTTGTGTACACTGTTCATTTCCAGACAGCAATTTGTTCATGAATGGTTCTGACATATTTTGCAGAGATAAACTGAGAGAGTATAGTTCATCTGAAGAGGAATTGTCAGTTTCCTCTGCAAGATCTAGAATGGTTGGATCAGTCTTTCTGAAAGTTTTCATTGCATTTCCAGCAGAGCAGTAGATTGGCAGATCAGAAAGATTAAGGTCCGCACAGAGGAGACAGTGAGAGTCTATGATGTCTTGCTTGATTTTTTCCCCCTTCCTTGGAGGTTGAAGAAATACACCAAAAGGAGGAAATCTCCCCCAACCTTCAACCTGTTAAAAAAATGCAGTCTGTGAGTTTCTTACTTTGAAATTATTAACGAATGTATACTTTACACTGTGAGAACACTACAGAAGCTTAATCTGAAATGCATAGGCATACCACAAAGTTTACACGGCCTTTATACACAAAATGTATTTACAGACTGTTCAGTGCTGCATTTCCACAGACATTACAACTTATGAAGTTAATGTTTTATGAAATTATGGATATACAAACAACAAAATAATGAATGAAAACAATTACAATCTTAAAATTTTTTGGAAAGTTAAATAATGCACTGATACATTAACTACAGTTGTACTGTTAATACAGTGAGATGTATGAGGGACCTAGGGAGGGACACAAGCAAACAATTACAAATGGATGATCTTTTGTTTAAATTGAAACCCATTTGTAATTATTTGTGTGTACCTCATTCAATCCCTTATAGAGTATAGGGTTCATAACACGAATATATTTAAATAATAATAATAATATAAATTCCTTATTATAGATCAGTGGATAATAATAATAATAATAATAATGTATAATTCCCAAACGAATGTATTGTTTAGCTACAATTAATGACAAAATAGTGATACAAAATGGACAACGACTGATAAACATAAATGATACAGTAATATCAATGGATAGATCAGTTAGTTCAGGGGAAAGCATTGTCAGAATATGTGTTTCTTTTTCCGATGTGTTTTGATAACAAACATGACTCACAGCATGTTCCCAGCCAGTGCAGCTCTGAAGCAAATTTATGTTGTGCTCCCTGCAACAATCCTCTTCGCTGAGATCCAACAACATATTGACATACTGTCTGCCCGAAGACTCTGTGTTCCTTTTTGTGCTGTCAGTAGTCGTATGCGTGTTTCTCAGCATCAGTAGGCCTATAGTCTGATGCACGGACTTCAGTGCTATTCATTCCGGACTGCTTCAGTCACAGCCACAGCAACAACAACAAAAGAGATTTATTTAAAAAATAATTTTGTGTTTTACAAGTTAGCTCTTAAGTTGTCAGGTCACATCTGTAGTTAAGAAAACATGTTTAATAACACCCTAATTAACTAGCCTACTGAAAGACTGCATGAAACATAGCAAACACATGTATGCGTAAATACATTAATCGAATAACAAACATGCAAAGTAGCCTAAACAACTTACGTTAGTTTTGACAACACTAACATCTTAAACGTGGTAGCCTACTGCTGGGCAATAAAAATAAGTATAGAGGCATAAACTGGTACCCTACTGCATTTCTGTTACTTAAAATGCGCGAATGGATGTTTAGAGTCCTGTTGTCTTGACAACCGTGGGATAGGATTACGTAGTGGAAAAAGATGATAATGTCGGGTGTTTTTGTACACTTGTTGTAAGTAGGGTAGCCTACATATTGTTAATGAAACAATATATTAAAAAATTAAAGTCTTAAAAATTAAATAGTAGTCTAGATTACACTGTGTGGTAGTTTGGGTAATTTATTATTTTAATATGGTCTTTCAATTTAAGGCATTCACGAAAGAATGATTATTTATTTACTTATTGCTTCATTTTCTTAATTTTGTGAAAAATTAACAGGTCAATTTAGCAATAAAGCCAGTCGCATGAATCCCTCTGTCTAATTGCATAAGCTTTGCAAAATGAATACCGATGAGCAGACATACAGGCACATTATTGATAATAGGCATCATCTTTTTTTTTTTTTTTAAGAAAGTTTACTCTGAATTGCTATTGCGGTGTTTATCTACTGTGAGACGTGATCCAGCGCACGAACTGCTTGTGGCTAAGGGGGTGAGTCTAAACTGGCAGAGAATTCAAGTACGGTGAGGGAGGTGCTTATGAATATTAATTATTGAAACACGCCGTTCAGGTTCAGCTGATTTGCTGAAAGGAAGACGTTGGTAATGAATGCTAGTCAGCTGACGAATAAGCTTACATTGGCTTATGAATATTAATTATGTTTCTCGCGATTGAGGAAGTTTGGCAAGAAACGTCGGCTTTACCTAATTAATATTCATAACCTAACGCTTTGCCATAGTAGGATTCAGCCGGCAGCAGCATCTCGGCAAAGATTGGTTCAGATATCCGCACTACCATCAACCATAGCTTTACGTATAATGCGGAAGGACGCTTAACATCAGACCTCGACTGAAACATTCTCAAAGGATTTTGCAGACACTTTTATGGAAGCCGAGGCTGCTGTGGTAATGCTGCCTCCCAAGAACTGCATCCTCAGAAACTACAGTTGTATCGCTGGGCTGTTCGGAAGCTTGACAGTAGCAGAGCAAAAGCTGGAGGACGGAGAAGAGATGGAGGGAGAGGAGGGCAAGAATGGGGACTGTGAATCGTTAGAAAGCAGCGTAGTGAATGAAAAACCGAGAGGAAGGGAGTCATTCCTGAAGCCCCCGCATAGCCCGACCCAGCGCCGCAGGTGCAAGTCTCTCCCCACATCAGCTGAAAGAGCCAAATTAGAGATCGCACGAAGCCGGAGCCCAAGCATTCAGAAAAAGGTACGTTTCGCTGACTCTCTGGGCCTGGACCTGATTTCTATCAAACACTTTGATGACACGGATATGCCTGAGGTACCAGACCGCATTATTGACAAATTCAAAAAAGCCAGAGCTCTCCACCTGAACAATTTCGACAAGTCCAACACATCAAGTCAGTCCGTGTTCATGGAGCTGCTCTTCACAAATCCAGGATCCCTGCCAGACTTCCTTGACAGAGTTTCTGCAGTGAAGGTTTTACTGGAGTCTGTTCAGGCTGATGAGTTCAGCCTCTCGGGGGTCGTACGGGTTCTTAACTTGGCTTTCCAAAAAAAGGTCTATTTGAGGTACACCTTAAATAACTGGACGACATTTATGGATATTCTGGCTTTTTACGTCCCCCATTCCAGCGACGGGCAGACTGACAAGTTTAGCTTCAAAATAATCACCCCGACCTTTCTGGAGGTTGGAGGAACGCTGCAGTTTGCCATCAAGTACTGTGTCGTGGGAGGTGAATTTTGGGACAACAACAAAGGGAATAATTACAGAGTAAGAAGGCACATATTTAAAATTTCTCCTCCGAGGGAATGGGAAAACGGCTGGATCCATTTTATTTAGTGCGCGCTTCAGCCTTACCGCTATGGCGATGCTTGCTCATGAATATTAATTTGGTGACTTCCATCGACGAATTGGCTAAGTAATAATCATGAGCCAATTCTTCGCCATAGTAGGATTAGTAATCTCTCCAGCAGTGTACCCTGACTGACCTTCCATGAAAAACGTATGTAGCATACCAGCACATAGGCTATTCATAAATGTAACACCGCGTTGTCTGTGCTATTGTCATTGCTTAAATAATGGTAGAGCATGGGAAATTAAATTAAAGTCAAAAAGGTAGCCACTAACATGCAACATTAGGCATATTTCTATCGTTGTAATACACTGAATGTTTAACTGCAGTACATGTAAGGCCATGGAGACAAGACCCCTGCTGCATTCATTAAAATGAGCAGCACCATTTTAATGAACACATAGCTTCAATGCATTGTGCTGTAATAGGATATTGTGTAATAATTACATAATCCACAGTGAGCCTGTTACTCTTCAGTTCAAGTGAAATCATGGTGCTTCAGCATCACTGTGCTTGTTTTACGTCAAACTGCAGCTAAGGGTTTAGGCTACCTCAGGCAGATTTTTGATACAATAATAAATCATACCTTTTTAGAAGAGTGTATACCTTGGGTCCATGTAAAAATTGCAACCTGTTCCGCTCTGCCTGCTGAGAGCAGGCTTTGGACAAGTGCCTCTTGAGGCCAGGGGAATAAGGATTACCTGCATAGCTCTTACAGAGACAGAGCAAAAGTGAATTTACAGAGCCGCTGAGGTGTTTTGCTTTAGCAATCCATCCATGTGCACCAATTAAATATTGCGTACAATTTCTCTTCCTCACAAAATAGTCAACAGCCTGCATGTTTTCTTTTACTTTTCAAGTCATCAAAAAATTGACCCTGTTTATATTTTTTAAATATATAGTAGTTGGTATAGTCCACTCAAAAATGAAAATATTCTCACCATTTGCTCACCCTCATGTCATCCCAGATGTACACGACTTTCTTTCTTTAGTTGGACACAAAGATTTTTAGAAAAATATTCTATCTTTTAAACATTAACACATTAACAAAAGGGGTCATTTTTTGGGTGGAGTGTCCCTTTAATGCATGCTACTGGTCTTATTGTGAACAATTCATCCTTGCATGTTTGCTTTTCTTGTTATATGCTCACTTGAAATCTAAAATGCAGTTACGTTCAGCGACCATTGCAGTTGGAAACACTTACTTTACACAATCAAGTCCAGTCTAACATTTTTTCTTGCTCATTTTCACTCTGAAATGTGTCACACTACCATTTAGTAGAGTCAGTCACAACTTCTGTTTCAGAAAATGCTTTTGTATTTAAGGCCCTGATTAAATAAAGTTCTGTTAACATCCAAACCACATCAGTCTTATAATTACTATTAAGCTTGTATATAACAGTTTATAGGTGATATGACAGAGAAAGGAAAACTTGAAATCGCATCATATGACCCCTTTAAGTATTCACCTTATCTTTAGAAAGTTGTCGAAAGTTGTCATGAGCATTGTAATGTTTGAAGCGAATGTCATAACAAATGTCAGTTGGGCCAATTCATAAATCTGTAAGATCTTACCTTCATGCTGTGGAAATATATACTGGAAGACAAAAGACAATGAGCACAGTTTTGAAAAGGGGCGGGGCTACATAAGGTCTATAGTGAGTTACTGCCACTGAAGCTGGCCTTTCAGGTTGCAGGGCAGATTAAATGACTTTCTGATCCTCTTTGTTGAAATCGCAGGGGCCCCCCGAAAGCCCTGATAATTGCCACCACCTTTCTTCCCCCCCTAGCGACAGCTACAGTTGATGATTGAACATAGAACATCACGTCACCTGAAGCTTTCTTCATTAGTGCCCTATAACCATTTTGACATTAGTCAAAAATTGTTCAGCACTTTTATTTAAGACTTTTTTGGCTGCACTTTGAGTAGTTTATTACTGAATGACAAATGATTGTAAAGCTGAACCTTTCACAAAGTATGAATAGAGCATCTACCCTTTGTAAAGTTATACAGCATTCAAAAATAATTCAGATACCTTATACATTTCATTATTTAATAATATAATTATAGTCATATATTTATAATTATATATTTTGTTGTCACATTTTGTTATGTTGCATCGTTATGCTAAAATTAATCATCTAAAAGATGATCCAGAGAAATGGAATGCACCTAAACTAAATTTCAGGTGCCACAGCAAAGAGTCTGAATACTTAACCTATATCAATGTGATATTTCAGTTTTTGTCCTTTTAAATAAACTTGCAAATGTGTTTTTTTTGGTTTGGAGCATGGAGTATAGATGTGAAAAAATATTGAAAGCATTTTAGCATAAGGCTGCAACATAACAAAATATGTGTGTGGTAAGGTTTCTTTTGGTTTCTCTCAATGGAACAAAAACCTTCCATGCTATTATAACTGCAATGTCACAGATATAATTGAAGCTTGCCCTTAAATTCTTTGCTTTCTGCATCTTCAGAACTGTCTGCTACAGTGAGATGCAGCCTTCTTCTAGCAGATTTTGGAAACAAAAAATGTCATTTTAGTCTTCATAACTGAATACAGATTAACTAGGTTGATGGATTTATATGAAGACAAGATTCTAATATAATTTGACAAACTTGTAATGAAGTTCCATTTACCTCGGAAACATGCTACCAATGGCGATTAAATCTAATGATCGATTAGCTCATATCACATCAAACCATGCAAATTATTATTATTGATCAACCTTTTTCTCAAATTGTTAATGTTAACAACATCAGCATTACGTGACTATGTGATTATAGTGTGTATTAGCGTGTAGATTTCAATTTTTGCACAGTCTAATCTAATTGTCATACTCTTCGAATTTCATATTAAGAAATTCTTTTAACCCAAAAAGCTAATTATGCTCCCTTCGAACTGGTTTTCTTTAAAATACAAATCTTTGTAATCCCAGGCTATCTGTAATCAGAAGCACATTTATAACTGGAATATAATTTAATTTCATTCACATGTGTTTCATAAACACAATCATTTATGGATTACAATCCACCATCAAAATGATACATTTAATTATTCCAGCTGCTGTGAGAAAAGGCTATAAACGATCCGCCACCTGCAGGATCCTCACATGCGATAGCCTAGTAGCCGGGACAACTTCTTTATGTTTTTTATTGACGTGACGTAATGATGCAGCGCCATGCTCGAATTTCCCGCGAAAACCTACCCGTACCACTCAAATTAGAAAACATTATTATAAGCTAACCGTTGTGAATCGGGCTAAAGTAAGGCGATAGTTTTGAACACTGGCTGGTTATGTACTTGCTCAAATATTGATTTCGGATAATTTTTAACCAAAAAAAGTTACGGACTGCAGCTTTAAATATCTGCAAGTTAGAAGTTTTATTTTTTCACGCCTAAAGAATTCTGCTCAACTCCCCCCAATGTCCTTATTGGAAACATTCTCCACACAAGATTATCTATCTAAAGGGCGGATTACCCAATTATATAATATTCTAGTAGGAAATCATAAAGAACGTGATGAAAATAAAAGACAAGCATAGATATATGACTTGAATAAAAATATGGGTACAGTGTGCTTAAAAGCACAAACACTGAATACTCGGTTGAGACTCTTACAATACAATTGGATAATGAGAACTTATATTACTCCTGTAAGATTAAATAAATTTGACCCAAATATCCCTGACCTATGCTTTAAATGTAATAAACTACAAGGCAATTTTTTTCATACTGTGTGGGAATGTGAAGAAGGGCCAAAGTTTTGGGGTGGGGTGGTTCAGTATGTTTCTCAATTTACATCTTCTCCAATTCCTTTATGCCCTGTATTATGAGTATTGAGTATTTATGAAAACAGTTGTTCTTTATCTAGTAAAGAAAGAAAATTTGTGGACTTATGTCTGCTGCAAGCCAGAAGTTCTATTGCCCTATGATGGAAGAATGCTAGCTGCCCTTCCCTTGGACTACGCTTAAAAAATTGAATTTCTAGCTTGGCTCTTGAAAAACGTACATATGTAATGAGGAAAAAAATAATTGGAATTCAATGATATCTGGAAAACATTTTTTGGACTTTGTTAAAGGATAATGATGAGGTACTAGATGTGTGAAGATATATAATACAAGTATAACAACAATCAGGATTGTATATTTCATGGTTATATTTATTTATTTTTGTATTTATTTTTTTTATTAATATTTTTTTTTTAAGTTTTGTGGTTGTGGGGATGGGTGAGAAGGTTTGATTATAAGTGTTCCTTGTTTACCTGTTAAAGTTTTGAAAAAGTCAATAAAGATGTTTTTAAAAAATACAGATTAACTGAAAATGTGATTAGCTACAAGTACCAACCAGCTAATTTTTTTTCACGAACATACATTTTTCTAAGTGTAAAAAAAAAAAAAAGAAGAAGAAAAAAAAAATTACTGTGGCTGGCTGCATAAAATCAGTTATCTATTTTTTTTTTTTTTTAAACATAGAGACTAAGTTTATGCAAATAGACATTTTTCCCCCCAGTAATCTGTATACATTTAATCCTAAAACACAACACAATGCAATACGGAATTGAATGGGTACAACACCTGTGACAAGTCAATTTCTCAAAACAGTTCGTACATACAGCACCACACAATGGATTGCCCTGTAACATGCTTAAAGCTTCTCAAAAAGCAAATATTTATGCTAGTGAGCATATCAGTGCCATCTAAATTGCAAGTCCTTGTGTCATTGTTCACAAACAAGATGTGTTTGTCAATATAATGGTGTACTTTCCTGATTTAAACTATGCCTATGGTTTGATGACGGTGATTGAACATGCTGCACTTTTTTCTGTATGATATCAGTTACAACAGATTCAAGTTACACATTGCTCTATGTGGTATTGATCTCAAGAGACTGGACAGAAGTTACATTTACACTTTTGCGGTTAGTCAATAACTATGGCCGATTCAAATATCTGAGCTTGAATTGTTCCAAGTCTTCAATATTGATGAATGCTTTACACCAGATATGCATTAGTATACTGTAATGATGAAGAGCATTTTCAGTATATGAAAAATAAAGTGTTACACCGTTATTCACTTAGCTCAGCACTTAAAAAATTTCGGACAGTTGTAGTGCTATCAATGATAGGACTTAGAAATCAAATGCAGTACACACGATTTAATTGAAGGCCACTAAATATGTCTATCTCAATTTTTTATTATGATTTAATAGCATAAATCTTTGTGCTTATTTTGTGTTAAAAAAAAAGTTGTGCAGACACATGGAAGGTCTCGGTAGTTTATTTCAACAAAGATTCACTCTTTTTCTCATATCATACTCCATGCTCCACAGATATACAGTGTTGCAAAACAGGTAGTGCTTTACACAATAATATAACTTTATGGCTCTGCAAGCAAACACATGAGAGTTTCATACTATAAATAAATTCCACAGAAACAATCAACCCTCAAAAGAAACCATAATTTAGTTTCAATTCCAAAACCATAATTTTAATTCCAAACGTTTTAATTCCAGTGTTTCTACATTGTAAGCAAGCAAACTAAAACTGTTAGAAGCTTTACTATTAATCTGATTACAGTGCAACAACTTCTAAAAGTTTGCACATTAACTCAATATTATCTCTGTACACATACAACAATTAAATTATTTTTTCATGATCTCATGTTCATTTCCAGTGCAGACAAACAAGACATTCATCTTCGGTTTATTTGATGGTAGAATGTGAAAAACAATTGCTTAACTAAATTTAAGATTCCAGTGCATAGTAATAACATAAGATAAGATAACCCAAACTCTAATGGCCATCTGTGTACCTGCCAATACACATGAGGTCTCTGCATCATAAATGCTGGTGTTGAAGTCTATATGGAAACATAGTAAGTTTCAGATCAAGGTGGATGTCTCAGAAAATCACAGTTCACCATTCTTATTTACACTCTTGGAGTGAGCAGCTAAAGGGAAGCTCCTACACTGATTATTTGATGCATCACAATAAGTGGAAGCGCCTGGACTGTGGGCCTTTCTCTTACACTGCCCACACCAGTTTTTTGCAGATCTTCTATTTGTGCAAATGTGATTTCGATGATAATTGTTTTCTAAAGGGACCAACTGAGGCACACGAAAACCAGCACATGAAGCATAAGAAGGTAGCCCATGAATATGTAGCGTGACTTCCCCCTGGATGGCAGTAGTTTGGAACAGCAGTATATGCTCCTTCCTTTGAGCCAACGATATACTGCAGTATTTCCTCTCTCAATCAGTAGAAAATATGGTTAACACCCGGTCATGCATGAAAAAAAAAAATACCGTCATGTACAGTGAAACCGGTATAATTTTGAAAAATACTGTGATATAAATGTTTGGTCATACGCCCAGCGCTAACACAAACAATTGAACTTTTCAATTAAGATATAAAGAATGATCACTGATAGGGCAGGTTCGAAAGTTAGTGAATCTCTTGATTCTCTCTCTCTCTCTCTTTATAAATTGCAACTGTAATTCTTTTAAGAATGAACAAGCTGACAGTACTTTGAATGGGTTTTAATGGTTTCAATAGCTGGGGGTCATGCATGAAAAAAAAAAAATACCGTCATGTACCGTGAAACCGGTATAATTTTGAAAAATACTGTGATATAAATGTTTGGTCATACGCCTAGCACTAACACAAACAATTGAACTTTTCAATGAAGATATAAAGAATGATCACTGACAGGGCAGGTTCGAAAGTTAGTGAATCTCTTGATTCTCTCTCTCTCTCTCTTTATAAATTGCAACTGTAACTCTTTTAAGAATGAACAAGCTGACAGTACTTTGAATGGGTTTTAATGGTTTCAATGACTGGAAGCTTCATTTATACATTAATTTATACATGAAGTACCTTGTGCATGAACAGGTGCCGGCTTGGGCGAAGAACAAGATCTTCATACTGTTCCTCGTCTCTTTCTAGCTGAATACTAAAGTCCCTTTGAGAATGCCGTAATTGGTTTGACTCCATGCTGAAACACACACACACACTTGTGAAAAAACGAGCGCATCAGATGGGATGCTCTTGAAATACTATGATCCTTTCAGAAGCTGCAGAACAACATGGGTTACAGGGGAAAGCTGGATTTGATTTGATTCTCTACAAAGTACAACAGGATGCCCAAATGCTAAAGGGATAGAGGGTTTCATTCTTTCCAATCTCACATGCTAGGAGAATAATTGTGATTAAATAGCTTTTTATTTGATAGTGTCTGGTAAAATCACTTCAATTTAATTTCCAGTTTACAGAGAAGGTAGGCTTTCCTATTGAGCTGTTCCAGAATGTTAAGCCACTTATGCGGATTCATGCAAGACTGGCTTGGATGCTCCAAGGCCCTGCTCCCAAAGAAGATCATAAGCATATTGTGCTAACATTTTACAGATATCATTTGCTCATTCTCCAGCTTCAGTGGACTTTAGTGCACACCACTTGTTCTGTGATTTATATTATGAACTTTTCAAAAAGTGATTTAATAAATGAACTTTTCTCTTGTACCTCTTTACTTTCTGTTCAGTCAACCGCATGGCTTCCTCTGCAACCTCTCTCATTGATCTCTCCTCCTCTAATCTGGAGTTTAACCGAGACAGATGAAACTCTGCCTCAGCCAGCCTGGACAAAACATTTAAGAGAGTATCACACAAAAAGCTTACAACACGAGTCATCTACAAACACTGTCTGTCTGTCAAACCTCATCCTGAGATCTCCACTGTCTGATCCACTTGGGTTAAAATCGGCACTGATTGGTTCCTGAGGGGCTCCTGGTGGAACTTCTGTGTAGACTGAACCCTGTTGAGAAATGAACTGACTTAAACATATACAAGACTTGATTATAATTTCATTTCAAGGCCCTATCATATCAGTTCCTTTTTCAGGGCCAAGAACTAGAGGTGTTGTCGCACCAGTTCTTTCTATTAGATTTCTTCTTATTATTCTTCGTCTGGCTGGAAGTGTATGGCAATATATGCTAAAAATGATGAGATTTGGCATTAAAACTTTTACATATCTTGTTCATCAAAATGTATTGCTGGGCTGTTAAAAGTTAAAATGATGAAAAGTTAACAATGTTGAGCCAAAACAGAAAATGAGGCAACACTTGTGTATATATATACGAAAATTGGTAGGCTTCATAGGTAGCATGACCTGAGTATACATTGTCAAGTTTGGTGACAGTGCCAACATTTCGATTAAAGCACAAAAAAGTCATGTGATTACTGAACCACTGCCCTGCAGCACCTCTGTGTGCACACATAAAAAAAAAAGAATAAATCAATCAATCATAAAACATTTTTTTAACCACTGACTTTTGAACCATTTATGATACTCATAAAATCAAATACAAGGAAGGAACCTTCCAACTTGGCACATTATGAAAATGTTTATTTTAAATTTTTTATCAACAGGACTGAAACAATGCAGTTTAGGGAGTTATTTGAAAACTGATATTTTTACCTATATGACACAGGTTACATTTATTGATCAGCTGATATTAAACTAGATACTTGCAATAACAATGTTCATTATAGAATTTAAAGAATCAAAAATCATACATATCAATATTCAGCTAATGCCACAGTTGCCAACAACCTCACATCCAGTTACACTATAAGGATCTATCATTCATGTTATCTTTTAGCCAACAACCCAGTAACAAAAATTATGTATGTTCAAATGGAAAGGCACCAAAACTTTACTGGACAAACTGGAATGGTTAGACTCCACCTTTACAGAAAGATAAACTCACCTGTGTGTGTGAATACTGATTTTGAAATGGTCTCTCCTGCCAATAGCAGCGATTCTGGAGTTCACTAACAGTCTGCTGTGTGTCTCTGAGCATCTTGGAAACAGTGCTTAACTGGGAGGACACCCCTTCCTTTTCCTCAATTGCCTGTTGCAACTAGTAGATATACAAGGATAATAATACATGAACAAATATAAAGGAAAACAATTCATGGCAGTAAATATAACACTTTCTTTTGCTTTCCATATGGAACAAGTGTATGGCAATATATGCTAAAAATGATGAGATTTGGCATTAAAACTTTTACATATCTTGTTCATCAAAATGTATTGCTGGGCTGTTAAAAGTTAAAATGATGAAAAGTTAACAATGTTGAGCCAAAACAGAAAATGAGGCAACACTTGTGTATATATATACGAAAATTGGTAGGCTTCATAGGTAGCATGACCTGAGTATACATTGTCAAGTTTGGTGACAGTGCCAACATTTCGATTAAAGCACAAAAAAGTCATGTGATTACTGAACCACTGCCCTGCAGCACCTCTGTGTGCACACATAAAAAAAAAGAATAAATCAATCAATCAGAAAACATTTTTTTAACCACTGACTTTTGAACCATTTATGATACTCATAAAATCAAATGTGGGTGAATACTGGTTTTGAAATTGTCTCTCCAGCCAATAGCAGCGATTCTGGAGCTCACTAACAGTCTGCTGTGAGTCTCTGAGCATCTTGGAAATGGTGCTTAACTGGGAGGACACCCCTTCCTTTTCCTCAATTGCCTGTTGCAACTAGTAGATATACAAGGATAATAATACATGAACAAATATAAAGGAAAACAATTCATGGCAGTAAATATAACACTTTCTTTTGCTTTCCAGATGGAACATTTGGATGCATACCTTGATGTTGAGTTGTTGGAGGCTAAAATCCCTTTGCTGGATCTCTCGCTGACAGTGCTGCAGATGGCTATGCAACTGGACCCAGTGTTCTGGAGACACATCTTTACCCTGCGAAGCCATGGACTCCTGAAGACACAGACAAATGTAACAAATTTTTTGTAAAACAGGAAACGTTTGAGTGCTGAGACCAAATTAGCCAAAATCTCCCTGAAAACTGTAAATGTTTCTGCATTTCACCTACTTAAACTATGCCCTAAAAATATGTACTCTTTTTGTGAAGAAAAAGATCATACTTTTGAGTGTGTAGCAGAATAGTAGGCAAGTTTTGGGACATAATACCCACATCATAATTGCATCTTTAATGGATAACTTTGTCACACAGTTGAGTGTATCTATCTAGGTATTTAGCACTAACCAGGACATGGTATTTCTCTCTCTCCATTGTCTTGTCTTCTTCCACTTTGCTGGATTGCCACTTGTGATGTTGTAGCTGGTCCTGAATTCTCTGAATCTGATAACTGGAATTTCTGCAGATCTCTTCTTTTTCCAGGACCAATTTACAGATCTCTTCTTCCTTTAATGATTTTTCACTGATAACTTTAAGCGACTCTTGTTTGGTCAAATCGTATTCCTCTTGAAGTTTCGTGTATAGTTCATCCAGTTTCTGCACTTGTGACTGAGCAGCAAGCGTGACTTGTTCCTTCTCAGTTTGAGTTTCCCTGAGCTGTGTGATCTCTGAGGTTAATCGCTCTATTTGACAGGTTAATTGTGAAACTGTGTTTTCCAGTTCTGATGCACTACCTTGCAAGTGCAGACACTTTTCCTTCTCCTGCATCAATAAATAATCCTTTTCATTAATGATGCTGATGAGATGGGTATTCTTTTCTTGTAAGCTCTTTAACTCTCCCTGAAATTTTGCAATTTCGTTCATTTCTAATTTCAGTCTTGCTTCACATGATTCTGATTGTGCCATTAACGTCTTTTTAACCAGAGAAAACTCTTTATCTTTATTTAACAGAAACCTATCTTTTTCTTGCAAAGCTGTCTGCAAATTCTGAACTTCTTCATGTAGCTCAGAGATCACTGTTATTTTCTGGGTGATTTGACTTTCACTTTCCAACAGTTTGACTTGCAACTTATTTACAGACATCTCCTGTGTTCTGAAAACTTCCTCTTTCCCTTGCAGAGCAAGCTGTAAAGCTTCAAGTTGAGAGTGTTTGGATTCTAACTGTTCTGCCAAAGATGCCAGTTCGACTCTTTTACTTTCCAATTCCTTTCGTAGGGATGTGGTCATCTCTTGTTGTCTAAATATTTCTGCCATTGAATTCTCATGATTCTGATTGTGCCATTAACGTCTTTTTAACCAGAGAAAACTCTTTATCTTTATTTAACAGAAACCTATCTTTTTCTTGCAAAGCTGTCTGCAAATTCTGAACTTCTTCATGTAGCTCAGAGATCACTGTTATTTTCTGGGTGATTTGACTTTCACTTTCCAACAGTTTGACTTGCAACTTATTTACAGACATCTCCTGTGTTCTGAAAACTTCCTCTTTCCCTTGCAGAGCAAGCTGTAAAGCTTCAAGTTGAGAGTGTTTGGATTCTAACTGTTCTGCCAAAGATGCCAGTTCGACTCTTTTACTTTCCAATTCCTTTCGTAGGGATGTGGTCATCTCTTGTTGTCTAAATATTTCTGCCATTGAATTCTTCAGTTCAGATTTAATTATAATGTTTTGGTCATTCATTGCCTGGAAATTATCTTGATATTCCACAACCTCTGTTTGTTCCTGTTTGAGCTCCTCTTTTAATCTTATATTTTCTGCTAAATGCTCCTCTAAAGTGCCTTTTAAATGTGCATTATCAGATTCAAGCTTCACAATATTTTCATTCATAATACCAAGCTGACTAGTTAGAGAAAGCACCGACTCATTTCTTCTGTACAATTCATCTGAGTGATTGTGGCATTCAAGATTTTTCTCTCTTAAAGCGCTTTCTTTCACTTCCAAAGTCTGGTTCAGTCTGGAACACTCCATTTTCTGAGAACTCATCTCTTGTTGAAGGATAAAAACAAGTTCTCTTTCATGACTAAGTTCGTTTTGTAGCAAACAACATGAATTTGATTCTTTCTGCAGCAGTGTGTCTTTCTCTGTCAGACCTGATTTATAATTACTAGCTTGTTCTTGAAGAATAGAAAGACTATCTTGTAATTGCTTGAGTTGGTGCTGATAAGCTTCCATTTGTGTACTTTGGTCTGTTAAGGTCTTTTCTTTTCCAAAAACAATATGTTTGTATTGAAGGACTTGAGAAGTGGTGGATTCAAGTTCTCTCCTAAGATGATATACTTCCTCTTTGGTCTCCCCGAGACATTTTGAGAGGGCTGCACATTCTAAAGACTTTTCCTGCAAGGTCTCAGCTCCAGACTGCTGTTTGTTTTCTATATTGTTGTGCTCCTCTACTTGCAAAAGCAAATCTTCCTTTTGTTTAAGCAAGCCTTCTATGCTTTTACGGTTTTCCACGTCTTGTGTTTCAAAAATCAAGATTTTGTTTTGTAGATTCTCCCTCTCCTTGGTTGTTTCTGTGAGTGACTTCATCTGTTCATTTGTTTGTTTCTGAAGGTACATATTCTGTTCATCAAGACTAGCAATTTTAGAAGCAAGTTTGTCATTTTCTTCAAGTGATTTTGCAACCTTGTTATTCATCTCAGACATAACTTGGGCTAGTGTAAGCACTTCTTTTTGTTTCTCTTCCAACATTTCTTGTAATTGTTGATGTTGCCTGCTCAATGTCTCATGGAGTCCAACAATGCCATCTTTTTCTAAAAATATATTAGCCATTGAATGTTTGTTTTGCTCAAGTTCTTTGTTCAATTCATTTCCTTTGAGTGTTAGCTCTTCCTTATCTCTTTGCAAGTGTTCTATTGTTTTAACACTTTCTGAAAGCTGCTGTTCAACTTCAGATATTTTGCTTGCCAGTCTTTTCTTTTCTTCTGAAACATCAGAGAGGGACTGGATGCTAGCCTCAATTTCTCTCTTCAATTGACAATTGTCATTAGTGAGATTTTCGACTTGTAAAATCAAGTTGTAATTCTGATCTTGCACAGCTTGCATTTGCTCCTTAGCATTATCCAGGTGCTGCTTTTGTCTTGCAAGCTCTCCCAAAGTCTGCTCAAGCGATTCCTGAAGTTTCTGATTGTTATTATTCACAGATTGAATACTCGCAATTTTATAAGACAAGTCTTTCTCCAGGTTTTCTTTGGCTTCATTTCGAATCTTAAGCTCTTTGTTAAATCTATCTCTCTCAGCTACTGTCTCCTCTTGAACAATCTTCAGCTTATACTCCAATACAGATATTATCTTCGACTTATCTTGGACATCTTTCTTAAGCTGTTCTTGACATTCAACCTGCTCCTCAAGTTTTCTAGAGAACATTAAAAGCTCACTTTCATGTTTGCTGACTTCAGCAAGCAACTTATTACGTTCATCCAGGAAAGAGTCTTTTTCATGCACTTGTTCTCTATCCAATAGCTGGTCTTTGAGATTCATATTCAGCTTCTGTATTTCCATGCGGAGATCCTGCATTGTTTTCTTGTCCTCTTCTGTTTGCTTGGTTAAGTCTTTAATGTCATTACTCTTTGACTCAACGTCTTTTTTCGATACTTTTAGATCAGTTTCAGTTCTCTTCAACTGTTCAATCAGCTGAGGTATTAGGACATTAAAGAACTGTTGGTCAGAAAGCTGTGGGTCTCTAAAGATTTGAACATCCTGTTCAATTTTAGTCAGCACATTCTCTTTGAACTTCATTTCCTGTTTTAGTTCATGAATTTGCTCTGAATATTCTGCTGTACTGGATGTTAGTGCCAATATATCTTTGTCCTTATCAGTGATGACATCTTGAAGTCTATCGATTTCACGCTCACATCTCTGCAAGTCATGAACCAGTTGTGCTCTTTCTTCTAGATGTGCAGCGTTCAGTCTGTCGAGATCATCGTTTGTTTGAACCAGATCATTCTGCAATGATTCTATAGTTGTCTCTTGTTTCTGGATCTGAAACAAGAAAATGGAATGTAAAGATATGTTAATCAACCTACTTAAGTAAATAAATAATATATTTTGTCGAAATGTAATTGTGGAAAAAAATGTGACATGGGAGCCAGTGAACAATCATGTCTATAAGATGTCACCTTGTCTTTCATCACACTGAGTTTGAGTGTCAGTTCTGCAACAGTTGCTTTCATCTCTGAGTTTTCCTTCTCAAAGGTGCTGCATGTCTTTGTAACTTCAGCCAGCTGCATGGGAAGGTAGTCTCAATTACTCAGATGTGATTCAATAAATCACATATACGGTGTCATTTTCTTAAATGTACGACACTGTTGATTCTTGGGTCTGGACTAAACGGTTTAAAAAACTAAAATAGATACTGAATGCAAAAAGCTCTAAAATGCTTGTAAAAATCACATACCCACAATATTTATTACATTATTTACATTCACTTGAGTGGTGAAGAGGTGTTATATTTGGACACAGGCACAATTTTTATTATTTTAGCTGCTGACCAAAACATATTCAAGTTACCATTATATAATGAATGTGGGCTTAAAGTGCACATTCTGATCTTTAATTTGAGGGTATTCACATTAACATTTGAGGAAAGGTTAAGGAATTACAGCTCTTTAATATGTACCACCCCCCTTTTTCAAGGGACCATAAGTAATTGGACAATTGACTCAAAAGCTGTTTCATGGACAGCCGTGGGCTATTCCTTCATTATTTCTACATCATCGTTATTTCCATGAGTTCCAGACTTAAGGCAGTCATTGCCTGCAAAGGATTATAAACAAAATATCAAAACTGAACATTTTATTTATGATTATATTGTCTAATTACATTTGAGCCCCTGAAAATGGGGGGGATGGTGTATAAAAATGGTTGTAATTCCTAAGCATTTGTTACATTTTGTTCAACCCCTTGAAGTCTGCACTTCAATTTCATCTTGATCGTTTCATTTTCATTATTCATATTAAATATATATATA